CGAGAGGAGGATCCAGAGGACCAGTCCGATACTGGTTCCTCCCAAGCGCTCTCCATGCTGCTTGGGGATCACTGAACGTCTGGGTGTCCATGCCAGGACAGACTCCACAATTACCTTACCTGAGAGGGAAGTCTGGAAAGCAGGGCTCTGCCCTTTTTTTTCTTTGGCAGATGATGTTAAGCGCAAGAAGGTGGGCTCTTCAGGGCTGAAGATCACTGCCTTTGAGGGGGTTATGAGCTCAGCTTTATTGAAACCTAATTTGATCTCTGGAACATTTTGGCTGAGGGATGGAGGTGGACTAGAAAAGGTTGATTTCTCATTCCCATCCTCTTTGACACCTTTATTTGTTTCTGGGACTGATTTGGGGCTGAAGGCTGTGCCCACGCTTTCTAATAAGGCCGGATCCTCTGTAGTTAAGGGGCTAACAGGCTCTGCAGTGTCTACCTTTACTTCTGGAGATACTTTATAATCCAGGTCTAACGTGGGCTCAAAGGAAAGAGTTAGCCCAGTTGCCTCTGTAGGATTGGATCTTTCTGTTTCAGTGGGTTCTGGGTTTGTGGTTGTGGCAGGTGTCATTTGCATCTTTGCTGTTGTGGTAGGTGCTGGTGTTGTAGTGATGAGTTTTGGCTTTGCTGACGTAGCAGCAGGTGTTGGCTTGGCTGTAGTGGTGGTAGATGTTGGTGTGGTGGGTGCTGGCTTGGCTGTAGCAGGTTTTGGCTTAGCCATAGTTGTGGTGGGTTTTGGTGTGGTGGGTGCTGGCTTGGCTGTAATGGTGGTTGTGGTGGGCTTTGGTGTGGTGGGTGCTGGCTTGGCTGTAGTGGTGGTCGTGGTGGGCTTTGGTGTGGTGGGTGCTGGCTTGGCTGTAGTGGTGGTCGTGGTGGGCTTTGGTGTGGTGGGTGCTGGCTTGGCTGTAGTGGTGGTCGTGGTGGGCTTTGGTGTGGTGGGTGCTGGCTTGGCTGTAGTGGTGGTCGTGGTGGGCTTTGGTGTGGTGGGTGCTGGCTTGGCTGTAGTGGTGGTCGTGGTGGGCTTTGGTGTGGTGGGTGCTGGCTTGGCTGTAGTGGTGGTCGTGGTGGGCTTTGGTGTGGTGGGTGCTGGCTTGGCTGTAGTGGTGGTCGTGGTGGGCTTTGGTGTGGTGGGTGCTGGCTTGGCTGTAGTGGTGGTCGTGGTGGGCTTTGGTGTGGTGGGTGCTGGCTTGGCTGTAGTGGTGGTCGTGGTGGGCTTTGGTGTGGTGGGTGCTGGCTTGGCTGTAGTGGTGGTCGTGGTGGGCTTTGGTGTGGTGGGTGCTGGCTTGGCTGTAGTGGTGGTCGTGGTGGGCTTTGGTGTGGTGGGTGCTGGCTTGGCTGTAGTGGTGGTCGTGGTGGGCTTTGGTGTGGTGGGTGCTGGCTTGGCTGTAGTGGTGGTCGTGGTGGGCTTTGGTGTGGTGGGTGCTGGCTTGGCTGTAGTGGTGGTCGTGGTGGGCTTTGGTGTGGTGGGTGCTGGCTTGGCTGTAGTGGTGGTCGTGGTGGGCTTTGGTGTGGTGGGTGCTGGCTTGGCTGTAGTGGTGGTCGTGGTGGGCTTTGGTGTGGTGGGTGCTGGCTTGGCTGTAGTGGTGGTCGTGGTGGGCTTTGGTGTGGTGGGTGCTGGCTTGGCTGTAGTGGTGGTCGTGGTGGGCTTTGGTGTGGTGGGTGCTGGCTTGGCTGTAGTGGTGGTCGTGGTGGGCTTTGGTGTGGTGGGTGCTGGCTTGGCTGTAGTGGTGGTCGTGGTGGGCTTTGGTGTGGTGGGTTGGTGTGGCAGGTTCTGGTTTGGTTGGGGCTGTGGGTTTTGGCCTGGCTGTGCTTGGGGTGGATGGGCTTGCCTTTGTTGTCACAGGGGCTGGAGTGGTCTCTTCTACAGTGGGTTCTGGTAAGAGATGAAAAGTGCCATCAATTAGGGCTGGGGTCAGCTGACCTCAACAGATCCCCTGTATGGAGCAGGGCCAGCAGAAATCAGCTGGGGAGGGGGTGAAGCAGCAGCCGACCCCTCTCAGGTCACTCTGGGCCATCCCCCACGCTGGGGTTCCCAACCTGGAGATATCTCATCTCCCTCGCACAACCTCCTGCACCTGATATCTCATGATCCAGCCCTGGAACTGCTTGTCTAGGCCTTCCCGATAGCTCCGGGAGGGTTCAGAGCTTGGACCCCAACCCAGGGGTCTGAGTCGCAATAGCCTGTCAAGGGACACGTGCCACTTTGCTTCACTTACCACACAAGGAGTTGACACAGACTCTGCCCTCGGGACACTGTGAGCATGAGGGTCCTTCCTTGTACGGCTTTCGGCCTTTCATATTACCCCTGGAAGCAGAAGCCGCCAAGAAAAAGAAGGCGTGAGAAGAGGGGGAACACCCATCCCAAAGAGGGGGTCTGATTCAGCTGGAATATCCCAGCCAAGGCAAAACTCATGATTAATGTAAAAAACAGGTCTTGGTCTCCCGCCACAGATTGTCAGTGCCGTTTACTCAACAGCCTGACCCCAAGGCTGCTAAAACCAGGGGAGACAGCTCCATGGATCAGATCCTTCACCAGCCCTTAGAACAGAGAAGTTGATGGGGTATTTGGATATGTGATTTTGTCTCCCTTCTGCTCAAGACCCCTAAGAAGGTCGGCACCAACTCGCTGCTCTTGTTGGTGTCACCAGCTCCAAGCAAGTGGTCCCCAAGGCTAGCCCCAGGGCTTCGCAAGTGGCCACCCACCACTCTTCCCATGTCCAACCCTTCATGCTGGTGCAAACAGGCTTGTCCACCCCAGGTGACTGCTGCTGCTGGTGGGGAGGAACAAGGCACAGAGCGGGGAGCTGCCGTTTGCACCCTCAGCTATTGCGGTGTCAGGCCTGGGCAGCTCTCGGGGTGGAGGAACTCCCCCCCTCGGTCTGTGCCAGGAGCTGAACCAGACCTCAGCAGTCGCAATTGTGGGCAAGGATCATCAGACAACCCTTCCTTCCTTTGTGACCAACCCAAGATAACAAAGGCCTTTCTTGTAATTGCTTTGCCTTTATTTCTGAACAAGGCCAAATCCTGCTCCACTACAGGGCCTGAAGGAAGGACATTTCCAGCACAGAACGGTGCACCAAGCCACGTGAGGCGTGGGACTTACGGGGGATAATAGTTGCAAACAAGCAGGTACATGTCCTCTGTTTCAATTCCTTCAATCTTCTCACAAAACTTTGCCCCACAGCCGATCTGATGCGTGCTTGCCCAGACCACCTAAGGCAAAGACCAGGGGAGAAGGTGAGGTGACTGGGGGAAGGTGGACACCCCGTTGGCAACCTATCTTCTGGCCTTAAAGGCTGCTCTGTCACCACACCAATGTCCCCCTTGTCAGCCCCAGATCCCACATCCCCACGTTGCTTTAGCATTTAGGGTCCTGCCCCTTGCCCCTGTCTGGACCTTCCCAAACTAGGACTGCAGTCCAAGTGCCACAGCTTTCCTACCATATCGTCTACCCAGATAGAGCATCGCTGTCTCCACTGTGGTCCTGGAACCCTCCCTCCCTCCATCCATCCTCATATTTACCACCACCATCTCTGCTCCTCCTTGCTCCCACCCAAGCTGTGAAGAAACACCGAGATCTCATATCCCTGCCTAAGACAAGCTGGCACCTGGCTCTGCCGAGTAGCCAAAAAGGGCTGCAGAGCTTGTTTCAAAGAGGTCTTCTCTAAAAAGACCGGTCATGGCTGGCACCATGCCCAGGTCCCCCTGTATGATTGTGATTCCTGCCTGGTTCCCCATCCCTTTGCAAAGACTCTGGGAGGAGCCGGGGCTCTGGCACAGTTCCTTTCTTGACAACCCCATCCCTTTGCCCCACCAGCTCTGTACCTGAGTGTAGTGACCACACATCTGCCCGGGGACACACGTGGAAGTTGTCAGGTTGTAGTATTTCTCCTCCCCATTCCAGTCTTCCACAGCGAATTCCAGGTCCAGGGTCGGGGCCATAGCGAAGAGGTTTTCCCCCCGTCGTCCCCTCTCCTTGTTGTGGTCCCAGATGCACTTCTCTGCATAGGCTTGAGCAAGGGCCTCCAGCTCGGTGTCCCAGCTCTGAAAGGAGCTCGGTGTCAGCATATGGAGAGGGACACTGGGCTCTCTGACACACACAAGGATGCGTACCAAGGAACCCCAGGCTCTCTGACCACAATTTCCCCATTCATGAGAAAATTCAAATCCCTACTCAACATAGTCCTCAGAAGAGGGGAGCTCCACAGCCAGTCCCAGCACAAACCAAACCTTAGCTTACAGGTCAAACAGGGGAAGGCATCAGCACAACTCTTAACCTTGCTGGGAGCATCTCTATCATCATCATCATGGAGCACCCTCAACCCAGCATGGAGAAACTATGAGGTCGGATGGAGGAAGGCAGGAAACTCACCCAGGGTCACAGCGGAAAGGGTCTGGGGACATCCCTCTTTGACCGGGGTGGGCATGGGAGGAGAGTGGGACACATCTTCCCTAGCAGCTTCCAGAGCCTGGGAGCACACGCTCCTGGGAAACATCATCTGTTTGCCTGGATCTGAGACGCGGCCGGCCGGCTGCCTGCCAAGAGCCCCCTCCGGAGCGGCAACAGCCCTGCCGCCAGGGCCCGCAGTCCCCCGCCGGCCGTGTTGATTGGCAGGAGGAGGAGGAGGAGGAGGAGGAGGAGAGGTTTTCTCGCCGGGAGGCATTCAGGGAACCCTACGCCGCAGCTGTTTGGACGGTCCTTGCACCATTTGACCGAGACAGCAGCTTTGCTTCTGCAGCGGGCTGGAAGGCAGCCCAGCAACCGGCGGATCCTAAGGGGGGGACCTTCCCGGCCAGAGCCAGGGCTGGATCCAAAGGGGGGACAGAGCGTGGCCCCAACACAGAGCACGTCACCACTGGGGTGTTGACGGGCCCCTGAGCAGCAATGCTAAGGGTCTGGGGGGAAAGGAAACACTGAAATATCTGGATGGGGGCACAGTGTTGGTTGACCTCAAGCCAGGCTGAGAGCGATGGCTGGAAACCCAGTTTGGGGAGCACACGCCCCTCTCCCTCTGGCATGGAGCTGGGCTCCATAAACAGGGGACTCGCACCCACAGGATTTGCCTCATTAAAAAAGAAAAGTGGCTTTAGGCTATGTATCCCCCCCCCCATCACCTCACTATTTCCACAGCAACCAGATCCGTGTCCCAAACAGAAGTGTGGGGTGACCTCAGCTGGGCACAGTGCCACGGCAGCAGGTGAACTCGGAGGCGAGGACAGCCCAAGCAAACGTCCCGGGAGGGAGGAGAGGACGGCGCTCTCATGGAAAACCTCTACCAAGAAATTGTCAGGGCTGCTGTGAGCTGAACTTTTGTTGTGCTCCAAAAAAAAAAAGCAAAAAAAAAAAAAAAAGCCTTTGGCACTGGGCTGCAAGCAGGTCCTTTATAAATCTGCAATCAGAGCTTCAGCCGGGAGCAGCAGTCACCAGTTCAGAACTGCCGCTGGCTTAAGGAGCCTGAGAGATTATTTCCCTTGGGCATTCTCTAAGACTTTGGCTCCAAAGCCCTTATTCTCCCAGTTTTCTGTGCCTTGCTGTGGTGGGTGTCCATGGGATCATGGTGCTTGGGGTCTTCGCTCTGCCCTCTTTGAGTCTGAAGTCGCCGGTCAGACCCACTACACCTGAACATAGCTTTTTTTCCTTCATTTGCTCAGCAAGCTCCCATTTACCAGCCCATAAAGGTTTAATTCAGCCTGTGCAACTTTTGGGCCAGGCAAGGAGGTCTCCTCCAAGCACACTGTGACCAAAAGAGCAAAGCGCCCCAACCATCCGTGATAAACAGTTGTCCTCCTCCTCCACGCGTGTTGCAAATAGTGAGAAAAATCACACGTGGTGCAAGATAAAACACGGTAGATGAATTTTAATCAAATCAAGTGCCAGAATAAGACAAAAAGCAGCACTAGCTCCAGAGCTCCTTTTTGCTGCCACTGCAGCCACACGTGATGGCGGGCACCTGCCTCAGTTTCCCCAAGCAAAATGGGAGCTCCCTCACCTCCAAGACAGCCATGCCCAAGCTGTGGTGGGGATTAGGAGAGCAATGGAAAGCCCAAATAACTGAAAGACCTAGTTGGCGTGTTTGAAGTTGACGTTCCCTCCTATAGACAAAAGCCCATTCACCTGCAAAGGCAATAAAGCTCACCAGGCGATGCCCCCCACAGCAGGATTCCCCCTCCAGCCCAGGGCGCTGGCTCACGGCGATGTCTCACCCGCCTTTCCTCCCCATCACGAGGCGCTCCGGTGGGCACACACATGAGTGGGAGCTGCATCACTCTCACACAGAGCACCAGGGGACTCAAACCACACTTCGGAACTTCCACAAACAAAGACAACTCCATAGGTAAAAGCAAACTCATCTCTCTTTAGAGGCAATTTAGGGAACCCCTTCACTGATACCTACTTGTAGCCCGACAGAAGCATTGCTCTGCCTCCCCTAAAGAAACCCCGATCCTCCCTAGCATTAAGATCGAGGCTTGCACTACACAAACACCCTCTGACATTCCCCTGCAATAAAAGCCACTTACCATCTTCAGCATATCCATAGCAGGAGGAGAGACCTGGGAGCGGTATTTGTTATGCCCATCCAAAATTATCTTCTTCTCTTCATCAGTCAGGGACCAGCTCAGCTCCAGCACCGTGAGCAACAGGAGAACGGGAGGAAGACCTGAGCTCAGCATCGTGCAGCCAGCTTCTGCTCCTCGCAGCCCACAGCTCTGGCAGTCAGATTTAAAGCACCTCCCAAAAGCAAGGAACACCCAACAGCTTGAAGATTGGGGAGGAAATGTATTTCTTTATTAGAGCAGAGTTTCAGAGCCACATGGTACACACCCATCTCACATATCAGCCTTGATGGAGAAGCAGCAGCACGGCTGGTGCCAACGAGCATGCAGGGTCCACTCCCCAAGGCAGACCCTGTGCCTGAAGCCCTGGAACGGTATTTTCATCCAAGCCTCTGCTGCTCCAAACCTCAGACATCCCCATAGCCCTCAGTTACAGGTCCTCTACCTCCTGTCCCTTTTCTCCTAAACTATAATAATAATAATAATAATCCCTAAGCAACCAGCAAAGCTCTGTTTTACACAAAGGTCCTCCCCTGTCCCTGGAACGCAGCTGTGTCTAGAAACGAAGGCAACAAGATGCAACAGCCGAGAACAGTTTGCAGCACAGGGACTCCTCAGTCAGAGCCCACTTTGTCCAGCCCCGTGTCTGTGTGCTGGCCCTGTCGGGGGGAAAGCAGTGGGCAGCTGAGGAAAACACCCCCCGGGGCTCCCCCAGCCTGCTGGGAAGGATGGGGGTGAGGTTGACACCCTTCCCTGTGCCATTGGGTGAGCAGGAGAGGAAGAACAGGGCATAGAGCTGAAACTGCCCCAAAAAAAGGGGAGTTGAGAACCTATAGCTGCCTTCAGGGCTGGCTGGAACAACCAGCCATTAGCTCTGTGGGGACAGGCCGTGCTCTCTCCCCAGTGTCAGGTGTCCCCAGCCACCCCGCCATGGGGACCGTCCAGCAGAGGCCCTCCAGCCTGCCTGCAGCCTCTTCCTCCCCATCTGCAATTGTGCAACCGCCCCGGCTCTGCTCCAGGAGCTGCCTTCGGGGATCGCAGGCTATTAGAAAGGATCAGATGGTGGGCAGCTCTGGCCAGCAGAGCCAAGTTAATCACACGCTGTCGGCTCTGCCTCCCCCTCTCCCCTCCCAGCTCCCCAAGCAATGCTTTGCCATTTTTCCTTTTGTTTTGCACCGCGCTGACCAGCTCTCTTGCCACAACAGCTCTCCTACTGCCCCCCAAATCTCTTACCTCTGCATATTACCTTCTCCTTTATTAGGTCCAGGGTCTACCACACTCAAAAGTCCAACAATTTCTGCAAGCAGGGGCTGAGGTTAACGTCTCAACAGGCTATCTTCAACTCATCTGGTCAAAGCAAAGGTTCCCATTTATTGCTAAGGCGAACTGCAGACCTGCCTCCATCATCAGACACCTCAAAAGCTCTGCTGCTGCATCTCCAGAGACCTGGAGAAACAACTAGAAAGGATCAAGACTGGCTCCAACTCCTGTTGTTGGCCAGCTTGCCATGGCCTGGCTTTTGAGGAACAAGGCAGCGCCGAGAAGACCCCAATGCCCGTACTGGTCTCTGCAAACGGGATGTGGAGATGAAGGGCCGGGTTCCACGTAGCCCCTGGCACTACAGCATCCTGACTAAGCCTCGCAGGAGATAGCGCAGCAACAAGGATTAGGGAAAATGGGACACGCAGTGCCCACGGGGAAGAGAAAACAGCCCTGGAGGAGTCACAACCAAGGCACGTGGCTGATGGGGAAACGTGAGTAACAGCCGATGCACTCGGCAAGGTCAGGCACGGCTGCTGGCAAAGGGGGCGTAGGGCCATTTCTCAACTCCCCAACTTGCCCTGACGGCTCTTTCCGCAGCCAACGTCTGAAGCATCAAGTTTAACAGCACAAGGTCCAAGCCCCACCCTGGAGCTGACAAGCTCGTGTCCAGCCGGCATTAGGTAAGCGCGTGAGGACTGTGGCTTTCCTTCTGCTCACTCAAGGAACAGCCTGTCCACCGCACCCCCAGGGAGCCAGCAGCGCAGGAGACAGGAGCCGCACACTGACACCTGACGGGGCATGTGGGGTCTGGCTCGAGGCTGGGGGGCTCCCAAAAGGCACAACTCATGGCAGAAGCAACAAAGCCTGGTTTGCTACTGACTCACATCTTGAGGGTCTTCAGCGCGGTTTCTCTGGTGTCTAACACATTGTCCTGGTAGGAGCGGGATCTTGCTCTCCTCTACCTGCCTGGCTTTACGAACTCTGGCGGAGCTCGTCATCTTCTGCCCCTCGAGGTTTGGCTGAAATAAGCTGAATTGTGAAGGAAGGACAGAGATAGTTATTAGGAAGAAAGGAGGGACAGGCAGAGCTGTTGCCTCAACTTTGTTTAGGGAACCAGGCTAAAACCGACAAAATGTTTTCCAAAGTGTTTCTTTTGACATTTATCAAATGACAGCCTTCTGCCTTTTCACTTAAAATGACATTTCCACTTAGAAAAAGTGCCCTAGAAAGGGGTAAATAACCCCTCACTGGCAGCCAAGCAACAGGGGAAGAAAAAAAAAATAAAAAAATCAGGAAAGGGGAAAAGGTGCATTAACATTTGTATTTAATTGCAAAAAGTAAAAACTTTTTTATTATTCTTACATACAAATCTCATTTATTTACACACTTTACAGGCTTTTCCCAAGTATTTACAAAGTTTGCAATATATTAAATTATGACCATCCATAAAATTCTCCATTAAGTGCATATTTACATTCTTTTTTTTTTTTAGCCACCACTGAATTGATAGTGTTCAGCATTGAAACAGTCTTTATGCATATATAGCTTTACTTCCCAGCACCCCTGAGCCTTTATAACGTGCCTCCCCTTCCCCATAGACAACAAGATAATGCTAAAAATAAATCACCTGTCACTTGTTTGAATCTCCACAGCGAAGGGGAAGTCCAGCATCTCCCTTGTTTAACTCAGCAGGACAGTAAATCTATCCTTTACAAGCAGGAGTTTCCTGAAGAGGAGAATATACAGTTCTACATAGAAAGTTTATGAAGAGGAGAAAGTTTGGTTTGCAGGAAGCAAGAGCTCTTTGGGCACCCACCGCAAGGCCCATGGAAATGGCCTCACCCCAGAAAGCGCTTGGTTCTCTTGGGGGCCACGGGGCTAAACGTGGACCACTGAGCCTGGGATCGGGCGGATCCGGCAAACTTCAACTCCCCGGAGCAGCGTTACCGATGTGAACATGGGGGTTTAAAGGCAGGGTCACCTTTCGGAGATGCTGGAGTTTGTAGAGCTTACATCTCTAGCGACAAGATGCTCTCCTGCTCCCCACCTCCTCTTGTTTGGGGTGTTCCCACGCTGCGAGCGGGACTTGCTGCAGAAGGGTGTGCAAGGCTTGCTGCTAGAAAGCCGGGGAGGCCAGGCGCCGGAGAAGGGAGGTGCTTTGATCCAGCCCAGTAAATCAGCTTCTCTGCCAGATCATTACAAGAGGACTAGCAGGAGAAGCTAAAGGCCCAGGACTCCTGGGAAACCCGACCCTAGAAAGCTCTCCAAGGTTTTGCAAAGGGAGTTTGAGGCTGGGATCTGCAGAGCCGCCTCAGGGCTATTTGTGTGTGCAATGCCAGTGGGGTTGGGGAAAAAAAAAAAAAAAAAAAAAAAAGAGGGAAAAAATAAAAAGAAAGAAATGAAAGAAAGAAACGAGAAAAAAAGAATGAATAGAAACTGGCAGTTTGGCTCCCATAGGAGATGCTAATTTCCCAGTACTGAAGTAAATAATAATACTCCTTTCTCCTTCTTCCAGTTACCCTGAGCTCAGGACTGACTGAGAGCAACGGTCAATGACCCCTGCTTTTGGAAACCAGCTTTAAACCGCGATCCTGCTGCCTGGCTGACGACGACAGCCCATCTTCCCAGCCTGACAAGTGGAGAAATGACCACTGGGCTCTTGGGTAGCACCGATTTCTGAGCCTCGCTGGTGTGATTTCAGAGCAGCTTTGCAGCCTCCGGGACAGTGGGCAAGTGGGAGTCCATCTCCCGCTCACAGGCAAAGAACTCTGAAACACGCAAATAATTTTGTAAAAAAAAAAAAAAAAAACGGGACACATGCATTGACTGGGCACCCCTCTGAGCTGGCCCAGGCAGGGAGTGGGGGATTGTCCAAACCAGCACATACGCTGGGATACGCACAAGTGCCAAAGTGAAGCTAGAGGCGAGCGAGACCACGATGGGACACACACCCTCTGTGATTCATCTGATCACGTCTGTCGCTGCGATGCCACAATAGCTGAGAAAATAGCCACATTCTCCCCAGTTCAGCCTCAGCAGATTGCTAGGAGCTGCTGCGCTCTCTAGGGAAGTCACAGCCTCTGGCAGCTTTTGGAAAGGCTCCATGAAGCCGGAGCCCTGGATGAGGAAGATGACCAGGGCTCACTTGCAGCCATTTGGCCAAGGTGTCAACACCGCCTTTTGGCCATCCTACTTTTGCCACTTTGGCCTCACCTCTTAGTTTTCCATCCCGGCTCCTCGCCCGCGTTGCGATGCGAAAGGCATTAGCACTACTTCTCTGGCAGCGGAAGACAGGAGCTGCTCTAGGATCCGTGCTACAGACTGGGGCTCCGCACTCAACAGCGGCTAGGGCCAAAAATCGGCTCTTTATCAGCAGCAGAATTGCCCTCCTGTTTTAGTTTAGCAGCTAATTTCTTACAGCTTTTGGAAGAGGAAGAGAAAATATATTGGAAGTTTAAAAACAAATGATGTAAACTCCAAAGGGAGCAAGGTTGGGACATATGCAATGTATCGCCTAGACAGAGATCTGGAAACTTATGCAGAGACCATAAAGTGCACTTGGAAAGCTGATCTGCAAACAGTCCAGATTCACCATCTTCTGTCCAACCAGCTGCAACTCTTTGCAGAGGGGAGAAGCAATATGCAAGAGTGCTTTTGCTAAATAGGCACAAACCTGCGCTAGAGCTGCCCCTTTCCCCCCAAATCTGCACAGCGACTGTAAACAGATCTATTTTCTCTGCTTCTTCCCAAAGGAGCCAGACAGCCACCACGGCTTAAGTGCGACTCACAAAATACAGGCATTTCACAGACACTTGAGAATTGTCTCCGCAGCTCTTTTACAAGTTACGTTCAAGGCCACTTAGAAGTAACAGCATCACCAAACCACCCGCAATCTCAGCAGTAATGGGTCCAGCAGGTTCTCTCCGTAGGCATCTCTAACCAAATGCTCCACAGAAATGGATCAGGTACAAAACCAGTAAGAGGTGAAGTAACCTTGTCAGCCTTTGAATTTGACTTGAGAAGCTGCCAAAGTGTAAATAGCAACAGTCACTACCGAGGCCCTAATTCTGCCGTCACCAAACTCCCGAATTTCCATGAACTAAGACCCAGGCTTTAAGAGGAGGGAGAGGGGTGGTGTGCGTGTGTCTTGGCACGTACAAGAGTGCATGTAGTGTCACAAGTGTAAAACACATCCCAAGCATTAACAATACTAACAGAAGTCTTATTAATCCAATTCCCTTTAATATTTTGCTACAAATTAAATTAGTCCTTTTCTGTCCTGAGTCAGGCTCTCCCCCTTTGGTTCTATGTCTGGCGCAGGTTGGTCCAGTGTCGAGGGCCATGCACGCAGACTGACACAGGTGCTGGGGTTGTTCTTACTCATGTACAGGAGAAAAACAAGGGTTATGCATAGAAACGTTTGTAGCGTCAAGGCCTCAGACTAAATTCTTTGGAGCAGGAACTGTCCTCTGCCTTATCCTTGTACAGGAGCCAGACGTGGTCATCCCACTTGGCAGCTTTTGTCAGACCCTTACAAGATTAGTACGACGTTTGCTCCCGTTCTCCTGGTCTTGCTCAAAAACAAAGGCTGGACAGACATTTTTCCAATCTGTCATTCTACACATTACCTAAAACATTTACAGAGGAAAAGGTTCTCACTCCCAAGAACAGAGTTAACTTGCTTTCAAACAAAACCCCTCCCAATTCCATATTAACAACTGTGAGAGTATGTCCTGAACCCCAGCCCCGGCCTATGAGTTCAGCCCGACACATCTGTAAGTGATCTTCAACAGCAGGATCAGACCCAAAGGATCAGACTTGGAAGGGACCACAGCACCCGCAGCCTGCAAACACTGAAACCAAGTTTCTCTCACGGCATTGGATAAAGCAGTGCTCAAGCAACAGGAAGCATGTGAAGGCAGCTTGGAAAGGACTCAGGAAAAACCAACGTTCCTTCTGAAGAGAGAGTTCCAGGTCTGGAAGGAGTTGATGCAAAAAAAATGCCAGGGATGAGGAAGCTTTCAGGTGCTTCCATAGGTACCCTGGGCCAGGAATGCAGGCAGCACCTCTCAAAGCAAGGAAAATATGAAAACTATCATGCAGCCCTGGTGTCTTAGGTGCCCAATGAGAAGATGAAACTTGTACAGAGCTGCTCTGCACTTAGCCCCATGTCTGTCCAGAACTACTGCACTCTCAGCACTATCAGCACTAAAACTTGCACCAGTATTTTTGTAGGAAAGGAGGTGGGGGGAAAAAAAAAGCACAGTTACTATTGACTCACTCACAACCTGCTGATAGAGAACTGCAGAAGAGTGATCACAAGACACAAAGAAGAGGCCTGAACAGATTCTTTTGGTACAAGAATGACGCAGTGGGTGAGGGTCTCTGTCCTTAGGCTGCAAGGCTCATCTCAGCCCTGGAGCACGGAGCCGAGATCGGCCTTGCGGGGCACACCACTGAGGCACACAGCTATGTACGTGATGGAGAGATGGGGTGGAGTTGGGACACATCACCAATTCATTCCCTTTATAGAGCTGGCCTGACAAGACAGGCTCAAAGCTTCCTCCGCGGGAGGAATGTACACAGAAATGTCACACACCCCCTCCACTCCCAAACCCCCAGGAAGTTTCAGAAGTGCCATAATCCATAAAGGACACAAGGTGAATCTCATCCTGAGAAATCCCTCTGTTGCTTCTAGAAAAAACCCTTTGCTGCAAACCCAGGGCTTACCTGAGGGGACAGGGAAGGTCATAAATAGCTTGCGCTTCTCCCAAAATACATTTGAGGAAAGGCAAAGAATTACCTCAAGGGTCAGGAAAACAGTCATTTTTAAACACTGTAAACATGCAGGGTGGCAAAGCTGCCTGCCCCAGTTGCCCCAGCTCTATCGCTTTCAAGACGTTGCCTTGGCTTCAAAGCTGAAAGTCTCCTTGTCCTGGAAACAGCTCTTTTTTCCCACCCCACTGTCCTTAGCTTGCTGCTCCGTCACAAACAACCGCCGGCTCTGTTCCTTTGGTCATGAAGCTCATAGTCCAGTAATCTGCGCTGGCATAACCTTTGGAAGATGCAATAGAGGCCATGTTAGATGAATCCACATTTAATGACTGCTCACATTTCCCATGAAGTGATGGGAGTATGCAGAAGCTCTTTGGAAAGACGCTGCCCTCAATGACACGCTGGGTTTGTAACACCCGGCAGAGCATCGTGTCTTGCGCAGCCCACGCTGCGCAGTTTTTACACTGAGCATCTCATGGCATCCTGTTGTTTGTGTTCCAGGCCACAAACTCCCAGTCCAGAATGATTACCCCTCTGTACTGCTACAGGCAGGCACACACCAGGTTGGAGGTGGTAATAGCACACACCACCTTCTCATTGTGTCAGAAAAGACCCAGCTGGAAGCAGTCTCCTGACTCCAAGGGATCTCCCAGACCCTGCACACTACAGCACCGGTACTCACCCAAATCTCCAGCTTCCAGCTCCACCTTGAACATCTCACAATGTCCTCTGCACTTGTCCAGAGGTACGACAGTCAGGGTGAGCTGTCCACTTCCAACAGCGAAGAAGTTGTGCAAGCTGTAACTCTGGGATGAGAGGACAGTATTTTAAAAGCCTTGCTAGCTTTTCTTGGGTCTGTCTGATCAAACAAGGGGCAAGTCACTGCCTTGCAGCAAGGTGAGACCACAGGTTTGCTGCTCCCCCCAGTTACCAGTAGATCATAGCTGAGGTCAGCTGCATGCAAGGGTTCTTGTCCCCTCTTCTCTCCAAGGCAATGCAGGCCCTCCACACCCACAAAGCCCGCAAGAAAATGGAGGAGATCAGGCTAGAAGTCTGAACTGTCGCTATCTTCAGCAAAACAACTCCATGGCAGGTATCTCAAAATGGATGAGACTTACTGCCAGGAACAGCTCCTAAAATACAACTCTTAAATGAATTCTGCCCAGCTGTGCACCATCCCCTCACTCAGCTACAGAGCAAGGCCAGGATGTAAACGTGAACAGAGCTGGGACACCACGGGGGCATCTCTAACTGCCGAGGGAGCTGGACACGGTGTACCACCTGCACAAAACTAGGCACAACTTCTGGGTAGCACAGCAACCTTGAGCTGCCGCGTTACACAGGGACGGACAGAACTGATACAACCCTAAACCCTTCTGTCAGGATTGTAGCAGCTGAAAACGTCCTGCAACCTCCCCAAAGACTTGGGAGCTTCTAGAAGACAACTTACAGACAGGGAGATAACGTCTCTGGGATTAATTTCTCACCTTATTCCCCAAATCTGGATGGCGGATGAGGAAGCAGCTCTCCAGGGACACTGTCTTGGGGAAGGACAGCAAAGAGGAAGTGGGGAAAAATTCCTGCAGAATCCGAGTTTTATTCACAGATTTGTTCCTAAACAAAACAACCCATATTAAAGAAATATCCCACAATGATAATGCTTGTATTTAAAAGCCTACTTCCAGAGTCAAAATTCTTCACAAGTATTCATGCTTCACAGCCTGGTGACAGACTGGCTCCTAGAAACCAGGAGCAAAATTCAACCTCTCAGCTTCTAAACCTGTGCTCATTCATATCTTCCTCTTAGTACCTGCAGCAGAACCACGTAAACAGGGAACAAACATCATCATGGATGTGATGCCTAAACTGAATTCCTTCCGCTCTACCCTTAAAATGATCTGAGTCATTGATGGGATCCATTAATTACAAAAAATGCAGAGAGGTGGCATTGTACGCAACCATAACTGAAACCACATGGCAAAGCAGGGGGAATCCAAGTCTATCCTCTAGGCCAGGGAATGGAACTGGAAGAGGCAGGGTGGGGCTTGTTATTTTTACATCTCTGCCTAGTGGCTTGCCATGATTAATACTTCTGTACCCTGATCATCCGTCTACCAGTGCTGCAGTTGAGAAATGCAGGAAGAAGATCCCATGTAAGCATTAGCCAAAGCACAGGCTCCACCATGCTCTTCTCCAGGTCTGCTTGGACACTGCTTGTACAAACGTGCCAGGCAGCCCGCTCCACACCAGGTGGCACCTTCCCACATTACTTCTCACTCTTCTCCGCCTGAAAAGACTTGGTTAATGCATCGGGTTGCTCTGCAACCTTAGAGAGCTCTGAATTGTTCAAATGTCTTGTAGCCATGCTAAAGGCTTTAGCACAGTTAACAAGAGGGCCAGGATGAGGGTAGGCCATTTTTCCTGCATAAGACCAGACACAAATTGCAGGTTCCCTTAGCTTTCTGCTACTTCTCAGTGTTTCGCAAAAGTCACGGCACCTCTTCTTAGTCAGCACTAATGGTGGAGGATTTCCGCTGAGCAGACAGAGGAGATTAGAAATATAAACCAGTTGCCCCAGGTGATCAGACCACATCCCAGATGCCTGAAGAACAGGACTGAGCAGTCACTGGGATATTTTTGTCTTGTAAGGGGAGCAATACATGAAGTCCCAAACATTTTTAGTGCAGAAGTCGTCTGCTTGGATCAAATCAGTGCCAGCAGACAGACAGAAGACTAACACACTCCTGTTCTCCTTCCCTCCAGTTAAAGTGCAACTTGCGAGCTCCTGGTAGTTCACATAGGCAAAAAGCCAAGGCACCCCTGCAGAAAGGATGTACACATCTATCACATGTTTTGTCTTTGACTCACCAGGGAAAGAAAAATGGGCAGCTCCACAATTCAGCTGAATTTTCTTCTATTATAACTTTGGCCAGTTCTGGATCCTGGGACTGAAAATGCTTCAGTTCTTCATAGGAGAGATGCTGCCCTGTCTTAAATGACACAAAACAAAGATAAAAGCTGTGCACCTGGGGTTCCTCCCCGCTCCCGTTTCCATCCTGCCAAAGAACATCCAAGAGCGACAGCCATCTAGATTGCTAGATTTCCAACCACAATGACCATTAATCAGAGGAATGACTTGCTAAGGATGCAGTGGGCTCCTCACCCCCTGACATCTTTAAACTGGGGCTAAATGTCTTTTAGACAATAGATACATGTTCTACCTCAATCAGCAGTTTCAGTTTGTGGTTGAAAATACTGGGCAGGGGTCTTTGGCTGGTGCTATTCAAGAGTTTGGACTAATCACCCAGCCTTACAAATCCATGGATTACCTTGATTAGAAAAGGCTGAGACCTCTGGAGCTTTTCTGATAGTTCTCCAAAGTCTGTCACTATCTGAAGGCTTTTCACAGCAGAACAGACCGTGCAGTTTGCGGGAAGCGTAGAAGTGTTCTGTCTGCAACCTGCTGCCCACCAGTCCTGGCATTCTTGGGAAGAAAGAAGAGAATAAGTTTAATAAGACTGAAAATGGAAAGGAGACAGCCTCAATAATAAACTCATTATCCCTAAAATGAAACACTGGGATTTCTCATAGCTCCTGATGCCTGTGAGTTACTCAAAAAGAGCAAGCTTCACCAAGGCAGGGAACTCACAACAGAACGTTTCCAGCACAGGCTGAAGATTTTGGAGATAGAGCTCGGGGTTATGAGGAATGGGAGAGCTTTATGGAAATTCTACTTCTCTGTACATATGAGGCATACAGGCTAAGCTACCCTATCATTATCAATGGAAGGATGGCAACCACCATATATAGTGCAATTAAATTGAAACAAGTCCACAAGCAAAAGAGCAACCCCAACATGTTATCAAGGAGACACCCAGAAGGCATGAGGAACCCCTCGACCACAGCTATATCCATTTTAAATTCCAGAAATTGTTATTACACCACAATCAGCTGAACTGGCCTACAATGAACACTGCATATGTTTACATCTTCAAAAATTCAATTTTTATGTGAAAACATTACTTGATGCCTATATCCTGCCTCCCTCCTCCAACTTAAGAGTTCTCCCAGCACAAAAAAAGTAAGCAAACATTAACAGAAGAGACCTGTTGCAGCACTGAATGAACAGGACAAGAGCCGATAACACTGAACGCCCCATGTATTTCTATGCTAAAGGATCCATAGGAGCAGCCTCCACACTAAAAGGACACAGTTGTAATTCCACGGCAGCGACAGCCCTGGTTCTGCAGCCTTAACCCAACGGGGAGATGTTTAAGTCAGGCAGTGGCAGCAAACCTACCCAAACACCCGATCTGTCGGGGTGGGTTAGGAAAAACGCAAGGCCCGGGACACACCTCACACAAAACATCCAGAGATCTGTCCTCACGACAGGCCCACCCGCCCCGTTTGGTGCCAGCACATCTCAACACAGCTCATGTCTCCTGGACACTGCTGCAGGCCACCCACTCGGGAAACGGAGTGAATGGGAAAGGGGAGAAAGAGGAGGTAGTGAAGCCTGTCTGAAAAATAAAGTTGGGAAAGAAGGATGCACAGCAGCTTTTCAGGGGGAAAAAAACCCACACGCAGCCTGCCTTTTACTGCCATCGTGGTTTCCAGCCATGCTCATTCTCTGCACATGGATCATAACTGATGAACACTTAAAAGGAAGCTCTTGTTTTATTTTTCTCTCCGACATCTGTGAGAGCCAAACAGGAATGTTATAGAGGATTTAGGTTCATTGGGACATAAGAACAAGGAGCAGATTGGGATTAATTTTGCTTTTTTTCCTCTCTAAGTATCTCCAGTCAACTCCCAAATGATGCATTTCCCACCCTACTGCTGGGACATGGCCTGAAAGGGACCAGGATATAATTCCTAGTCTTTCTGGAAGACGCATCTACACCGCTTTCAGGGAAAGGGGTAAAAAGGCAAAACAAAGTGTAAAATCCCGCTCCCATGAGAAACTGCTCCAACGTACTTTCCCTCCCTGCTCACAAGAGAAAAAAGAAAATCTTTGTTCCACTGCCTGTAGAAAGCTTCAATTTTACAACAACAAAAAAACTCAACTCACAAAAAACAGCTGGTCAGTGACAGGAAACAAAAGGCTGAAAGATCTCACCAGAGGAAGGGCAGTCGCCATGAAGAGAACAAGGGAACATATCTTAGGGTCTCTCATCATACAGGGAGTAGCAATACTATAATTTCTTTCTGGGCAAAACTTAGAAACCTCATCCCAGAGCATTAAGTACAGTCGTCCCAAAATTTTCTCTCCAGGCTGCGGGCAGTACCCCACATAAGGGGATGCTAATCAGCTTGACAGTATAGAGCTTGATTCCTCTTTTGAGCTAGGCTGGGATATTTGCATTCTCAATTGCTCGATTCAGGAGGTTATTTCTTTTCCCCATGAATAACCCAAGCGGAGCACGGTTGAGATGCATTTCAAATGCCGCAAGTGGGGTTGTGGGATTGGTTTGTTGGTTTTTTTTTTTGTAATTAATCTTTTAGATTTATTGTTGAGGGTGTTAGTCTGTGCACCAGCATGCGTGTGACTGGCATGACAACTACGGGCAGCAAGAAGTGCCTGCCCTTCCCAGGGAGGGAGGGAGAAGAGACAGCGAGCAGAGGAGAGGGCATGCAACTGCACACTGGGGACCAGAGCAGGAGTTTTTTTTACAGGGGATGCTTATTCTCTCTTTAGATTACCCTCCCTGCATTCCTTTTACATTATCACCCTGCCCAGACACCCTGGGGGATTATTTTGGTTTAAGCTGAGCGCGCTGTCTGTGCGCACGCACAGTCTGCTCGGAGATTGAAAAGAAAGATGCACTCTTCATCCCAGTGCAACCATCACGTGCAGCCATCACACGATGGTCCCATCCATTCGCATTCAAATGTTAAAGTGCTGGGCGTGTGCAATTATCCCTGTGGAGTTTGAGTGCAGGAAAGCAGCTGTAGCATTGACACGTACAACTATCCATTACGCGACAGAAGCGCGGGCCAGTCCCAACAAACCTCTCCTCCATGCTTGTGCTTTCTCACCCCTCGTTGAGGAGCAGCCTTCGGTTTGTTTAGCAGAACCTCAGCTCCCCATCAGTCATACCCACCTAATATTTGCTTTTATGCTTTATTAGCTCTCCAGAACAAGAGCTGCCTTCTCCCCTGTGTCAGGATAACTCCTAGCAGGGCCAGGACCGGGGGCTTCCAGCTGCTAACACAGCACAGACAGAGAGATAACAACTTTCCTTAAAACACATCTATGATTAATGCTAGAAGGAGTTTATGACTGTACTTTCCACTATGCAGTAAAAGAATTTTCAACTTACAATCAATTTAAAATTAGTACTCCGCCCTTCTTGGCCATTTTCACAGAGGATCTCCCAAGTTTTTTGGCTGTCCCCTGAACTACAGAGGGGTGTGTGCGCACAACCCCAGAGACGCTGGGTGTGGACGATCAGATTGGAAGCTAAGAGGTTACTGAGAAGACCTGGCCCTGCTCCTGCCCGTTGCAGTGAAGCAATAAAACTTATGGAAACTTGCCCATATAGATCCGAGAGCAGGACCTCAGCAACAGCCCTGGTCTCTTTAGGGACCTTATGGAGGGCAAAATACCAGTCTGCCACTGCAGCAGGTTCACAGGGAAGCCCTGCAGCAAGGGGACCTTTTGCTCCAGCAAGGAGCCAAGGGCTGCTTCTGACCCTACGAAGCGTTGAAAACGTAAAGCCTCCTGCACGTAGAACTGCAGGTGCTGAGGCAGCTTGCTGGCTCCCCACCAAGATGGTTTGCTTCCCAGCACTCACGACTGCAAGGCTGAAGAAATGTCCAGCAGGCAAGCGACATTTAGGTCTGCAGAAAAAAGTCTGGTCCAGGGGAAAGGGGACCCCCCCCCAGGACTTCCTTCAGTCCCCCCCCAGGTCTTCTGTCCTTACAGGCTGTTCCTACCATCACCCACAAGCAAGCTCCCCAGAGGGCTGTCTAATGCACTAAGTAGCTCCCCAGTCTGCAGAGGTTGGTTCCAAATCCCCAGTTCCTCCTTTCTGAGGATGGTGCTATTCCCCAGTCCCACCGCATACCTCACTAGGGACCAGTGCTAGGAGTGGTCAAGCAACTTCAGCAAGCCTAGGATGAACTCAGGGCTCTCAGAAAGAGACTGGCCTGTGCACCGAATATTCACAAGACATTTCTCTGTCCATCCTTGTAGGTCCATTGACAAGCCTGGCTGTTCCATTAACACCCACAACACTTTTACATTGTCCCTCCCAGGATCCAAGATACCATCAAGAACTACAAAAATACTTCTAATCAGGGCAGGTGAGCTGGTAAACCTCGGGCTCTCAAAAAGCATGACCAATAGTACATTGGCCAATTCAAAAGTAAGCTCAGGATGGGGGTGGACTCATTCAGGCCTGACCCAGTGACTCAGGGCACTGCACCAAGGGCCACAACCTTGTTCCTATGTGCTAGATCCAACAATGAGAAGGTGCTGATCTCTGCTTTTGCAATGTCTCCCCATACATTTGTAAAAATCAGGGAATTTTTCAAGGTGGATCTCAAGACACCCTTCAGAGGAAGGGATTAAGACCTCAGCCTACCCTCTGCTGTCTGTGACCATACTTTCCCCTTGGCCAAATGGGCCCTTTACAGACGTTCATAGAATGTTTTGGGTTGGAAGGGACCCCTAGAGGTCCTGACAGCCTGTGGGATACTTACCTCCTCCATTTATTTTCATAGCAAAAGCCCAACTGCAAGCTGGTTCTTATGGCTGACAGAGGGCAGAGCTTTTTAAGAGACATTTGATCCCACCTGTAAGATTCCCAGTGATGAAGTGGCCACAAGATCCTCAGTGCTCTGATGTCCAAATTCCCATCACCACAGAAGGGCTGAAGCTCTCCCTCCAGTTGGAAATATCTAGCTTCCAGATGCTGGGTTTTACAGTGCTGTTTTCCATTATTTTAAGGACAGGGATTTGCAAGGTCCAGCCCTTAACCTTAAAGTGAAGTTGCAGCTCATAACTTAACTGTTTTTGCTTTGACAGCCAAAGAACATGCAGGCCAGGTTGTTCTTGCTCCTAAGATATGACTAGCCACTTGCTGCATTGGGACCACGGCAGACTTATAGCTACTATACTCCTCAAGTCAATAGCTTGTTACTTGTGCTACGTCATTGCAGCAGGATATACTATATGCTTATCACCATGCCCCCTTTCCCAGACCTTACAGAAAAATGGAACAGTATTTTAAAAACTCAAAGCAATTTACAGACATCGATTCACAATCACAGCCTATGACACGAGTCTTATTGTTCTTACTTTACAGATACAGAAATTAAGAGCTCTGTAGTTACTGCGTGGCACAGATCAGGGGAGACAGTCGGAGCACTTTGTTGCAAAAGCAACGTTTCCCAAGCTCCATGTTGCTGAAATTTATCACTAGGCTAAAAATTAATTTGATCATTTATAATGTCACGTCAAAGTCAGGCTAAACTGAT